AGGACAGTGAACTGGCCCCATTTAAAAAGTTTGAGGACTCCTGCTCTAGATGGATCTGTGCTAGAAGAGAACAGCAAAAATACACCAGGCGATAGAGTGCTGTTTTCCCCACTGTACTTCAATAGTTCACCTTCCCCATTTGAAATAACCCTGGGAAACTCCTCTGAAAGGAACAGACATGAAACTGGAGAATCAAGTCATCTAAACAGCCCATAAACATGCCTACGTAATGAATCGCAAGTGTACAATAACTGCCTTGTTTAGAAAAGCCCAAATTACAGGTTGTGGGGGATGCACCAAGCCTTTACCTTTTGTGATTATTTTGCTAGCTACCCTTTTTAGAAGGCTATGGTGGATCTTGTGAATTTCACTGACTGCACCTTACCCTTTTATCCATCGCCTCAGCACTAAATGCCACCTCTCTATTCCCTCCTCTGCATCAACAGGCAGGGCTCGGCAGACAGCAGGCGGCAGGAAGATATACATTTCTATCATCACGTTTGCCCTGTAGATTTAACTCGCTTTCAATTGATTGCTTGAATTTATGGCACAGCGCACCTTGCCCTTTCAAACCGTCAGTGCAGCATGTTCCTAATTATGCTATGCCATTTTTGGCAAAGGTAGTTTATGGCACCACAGTGTTTAACAGATTAAATAGGACAAGCAAGATTTTAACTGCAGCAAAACATCTTCCAAATAAAATTTGAATGCAAAAGAGTTGCGATCAACTATGAGTTAAGCGTGGGAAATTAGCCCTTTCCAGGGTTCACTCAACCTCAGTGTGTGTGTGTGGGGGAGGGGGGCACTTTCTTGGAAGGCAACCTGCCTTACACACCCTCAATTAGTTTGCTGCTTTCAGGCACAAGAAAAATGCTGTCCTGTCACCAAGCTTGGCGTAATGTTTGCCTGCCTTTCCAGTTGCCTTCTGTATGTGGGATGGAGAAGGAGATAACTGGCCTTTTCCGCAGCAAGTAAATTGCCATGGGCTGGCCCTGGTCTTTCCTGTTATGATCATACACAGTGTATTTACACGGTGGTTATGGTTTTGAAGAAAAATGCAAAGAGACCAGGGCAGCCCGCTCGAGATGATACCCTGGAAGAAGGCAAAGGAAGAATCCTGTGCCCCCATTATTGCTTGCTGCATGGAAGGCTCTGAATTTGGAGGCCTGCATGTATCTTATGCATGGAATGAGGCGTGGCACTCTCTGAAACCTAGTTTTGGCTGTCTAGATATATTATCGTCGTCGTCGTCGTCTTTGTTGCTGTTATTGATGATGATGATGATAATTTCTATACTGCCAATAGCTCCCTGAGTGGTTTACAAAAGATATAAAGCCAATAATATGCAATAGAAAAAAGCAGTGAACAAGAGTTAAAATAAATTTAAAATAGCATAGAACATTAAAAACAATTGAAGACAATTAAAAAGCCCTGACCAAGAATAAAAGAACTCGCCTAGCTAATTGTGCCAGACCTCCAAATGACCAGAGAGGTCTTTAAAGACCTCCAAAGCCGATTGGCAAAACTCCACCACTCAAGTCTGCCCTCCTTCTTGCCATCTGGCTGCCCTTTTCTGCTCTCTCCAAGACCAAGTTGCAGTTTGGGAGAGGTAGCTATTATCTTTCTGTGCAGCCCAATAGCCGCAGCTCTCTAGGTGGTTAACAATTAAAACTATCAAATGCATGATGATAAAAATACAATGTACAATTGTTTTACAGTTATCAAATCTCTGTTTCCTGTTTTACCCAGTCTAAATTCCTATTTTCAAAAGCAAAACAAAGCCTTTTCCTATTTCCGGCAGCTGCCAAAGGCAAGTGTCAGCAAAGGAGGAGGTGTTCTTTGCCATGTTCCTGAGCAATGAAAGCCTCACAAATGGAAAAGTTGGGGTATTGGACTAGGAAGTAAGCACACTAAAAGCCCCAAGGAACTAGCTACAAAGAGGGGGAGAATGTGCCGACCCCCTTGCAGCAGCAAAGGTCAGTTGTGGATTTGCTGTCCCTTGGCAACTGCTCAAAGTCAAGTACAAAAATCTGTCTAGAGCCCCTCTGGGCAATCCGTTTTTAGGGCTGATACACTTTGGCAGCAGGTATGCCCAGATCATTGGCCAGGTGAGCCTTCCTATTTCGGACCCATGGAAGTGTGCACTTCCATACTTGCACAGCTCCAGCTAGAGTTCACAAAGAAAAAGTTCAGTGAAAATAATTGCCCTTTATTGGAGACAATTAAAAAGGAGGTGGGGGTGATCTCATGGCTTGGACACTTTGGAGGGGCTGTCACTGGTGGCAACATGAGTGAGAGGGTCACAGAAGAGGGGAGGATGGGTGGAGGAGAGGACATACTTTCATAGTCAGAATGGCAGTTTTATGTATAACCCAGGGGTTTCTCCTTGGAATTTGTAGTAAGATTTTCAGCAGGGCCCAGAAAAGATGGTTGCTGCAGTAATATAAGAAGCTCTTCTGGTACGAATGTTCAGAAGTGATCTCCAGTGTCTTGCCTTTGGAGCTATTCTACAGTGTTGGCTCAAAGAACAAGGACAAATGGAATGAGAGGAACAGAAGGCTGTTAATGATGATGGTGGTGGTGTTTCTGAACAGAATTTACCACATTTCTTATTAACAGCTATTGTAAAGACAAGATGTATAAAATGCTCTAAAATTATAGCAATTACAACAAATTTCTATCTAAATATATCGCTTAGTGCTTATTACAAAAGCATGCAAGAATCAAAGGCTGTTAGGCACCCATTTCCACGAGTTCTTACCTTATTGCTGTTGTATTTAGGAGGTCTGATATATTTCATTTCCACTTTGGTTTTGATTTTTGGCAACCTGCATCCTGGTTTCCAGCTTCTTTTTTCCTTTGCAAGCCTTCCTGGGTATTCAGTATGTGCATACTTGCTTCCATATTGTTTTGTTAGAGATACCTTTGGTTTGTAACTTTGGTACATGTTCATATTTATTACCGAATCCTTCAACTTTATCTTGACTAAAACCAAACCAAAACCAAGCCCGGCCCCAGCAAAGTTGTCTCTTAAATGCCTTTTCCTTGTATGCATACTCTGAGAACCAAAACAGAATGGTTGGTAACAACAAACTTGCAATTGTTCATATTTTTCTTAGGTTGACTGCCCAAGACAAACAAAATGGTCTTTATTGTATTTGCTCTGAGTAAGTTAACAGAAAACCTTGTGCCACAAGCACAAGCACAACTATCAATCAATGGTAACTGTGCTGTTTTGAATGATGCACCCTACTTTTCAGTACATCTTTTAAATCCAGCTACTTCTAATCAATTCACATATCCATGCAGAAAGCGGCAGAGCCATATGTCTGGCTCCTAAAGATATATGCAATGGAACATAAATAGGAACTTGAAAATAGGGTGATGTTGTGCACTTGTGCTCTGGCAAGATTTCCAGCTGTGCGTGAGACACGGCCTGTTTTGGTGGGACTGATAGTTCAGACTCGGAGAATGATGTGGGGATGACTGAACCAGAACAGGCCCAGAGCTCACACTCTGATAATGGAATTGTTGCTGTACCTGACAGGGCTGCACCTGCTCTGAATTAAAGTAGCTCAAGGACACTGGTGGGGCCCAGTCTCCCTTCTGTCTGTGGGAATGAGGCGGATGGGTGGGAGAGGGGATTTTTCAGATGGGGAACACGAGCCTCCTGAAGATGTGGCGCTGAGGGCCTGCCATCACAGCCGCAGGCTGGACCAATTAGGGGTGCAGAGTGCAGAATGCAGGCGCATGTGTTTTCACAGCACCCCGCCTTCCAGAGACTGGCCCCGAAGGGTTCATAAGCAAAGCTTTGGGCAACGGGGGGCAGAGAGGGGTCAACGCTTCTACTTGAGTGTGCTCAGAGACTTGTGAATGCTCAGATTTCCTGTGTAGAATAAAGAGTCTTACAAGAAGCGCTGGAGTGACTGTCTTGCTTGGAAGGGGACGCCCAGCTCATGAAAGGTATATAGAAGAAAAATTTATTCAAAACTATAATTATTAAAAGCCAAGTCAAAACAGCTATCTAAATGGTTGCAATTCAATTTCCTATGCTTACTGGGAAGTAAATATAGTTAGTATAATAAAATGTTATAGGAATTGTTCAAAGTGGCATTTTTGCATATAATCAAATAGTATAAATAATGAGTCTTTAGCAGGTAAGTATTTATAACATAAAGTATGTTTCTAAAGACAACTTTTCCTTCATGGCCATAAATTATGACTTGATACTAGAACTGTGGGCCAGAACAATAGTAAGTTGCTAATTTCAAGAAAGTAAATGCCACAGAGATGCAACCTTTCCCATGTAGATAGTTAGCCAGCAGCACACAAACAGACTTGCAGGATTCCATTATGTTCAGATTGGTGATCTACAACACTTTTCATGGTTTTGTTGTTCCAAAGTATTCTATACAATTAATTAGAATTGGTAAGAGTCAATAATATGAGCTGGCTAGTACATAATGCTAATTCATGGCATGGTTAGAATTCTGGGTTGTTGTGAAATCATGCTAATAAACAGTCATTTATTAATCATGGACAACCCAGCAAAAGAACCCATGGTTTGCTGCTGGATTGTGAACTCTGGGGTTTTTAATCCTCAGGTTGTCCTTACATGTGAAGGCAGAACTATGGTTTGCTCCTGGGTCATTTTGCCAGACTAGCATTGGTGGGCAAGAGTGCTAATCGCACCCATCCAGCCCCTGTTACGGGCATTTTGAATACAAGGAGTGAATGGGCAAAGGACCAAGGAATGAAACATTCGAAGGGCTGAGAAAAGAAGCACTGGCTAGAAACCATGGATTAAATAAACCGTGAGTTAATGTGATGTGGATCCAGGCCATTGTCAGATCATCTCAAAATGTGCGGAAGGCAAGGGCAGAAGCAAAATAACTCAGCCGACTTCAGGACTGTTTAGTTTACATAGATAAAGTTAAGTTTATTACATGGGTATCCAAATATGTAGCAGCTTTTGAGGTCACAAAGGTATGTGTCAGGATGAATCAAATGAAATTATATGGATCAATTTACATAACATATTGCAGCCAAATGAACATTACGTACATAATATCATATATGTGTGGGTTTTTTAAAAAAAAAACAGTACTCCAGTAATCCTTTTCTCTTTCAAATGAGGTGTTCACTATTTTGAAACAAATTTAGTTTAGTAAAATGTAAAAAAATAAATCTACAAGAGCAACAGTGCAAACATTTTAGGACTTTCATGGCACAGAAATCATAGTGGATACAACCAGAATTATTATACAAAAGGCCAGCTGTTTCTTGGAGCAGTGGTTGAGATGTACAGAACAATCAGGAGGGTTAAAAATAGACTGCAGCTTAAACAGGAAGTTGAGCTACATATAACAGGCTCTGTCCTGTATGGTCTTTCTATTTCAGGTGGTAAAGCCATCATTCCTTGCATCTGAAATTTAAAACGAAATCACATTATCTGATGCATGCGCTACAGGACCCTGTATTAAATGCACTAGCTGACCTGAACTTAGCTGGAATGTATTCACCTGTATCGGGTCTTCATTATTTGTATATCAGCTGAAGGCAAACATCACCTCCACCAGCTTGATAATGTATGACCTGACACAACACTGTATACTAGACATACTAGGTATTTACATAAATCATGTGAGCTAACCTGATGGTATTAATAAACACTGAACTATACACACACACACATATACAGAGAGAATGATCCTACCTGTCAAAGTGCAGAAGGATGGAACCCCTTACCCTTAAAAACTCATCTAATGGAGCTTTGTTCTGGAGGCAGGGAAGTCAATGGATCCAGTGTGGACTTATATCCCCCTCCCCTCCCTGCCATAGTTCAACCTGTCCACTTTCCTGAGGTTGCCATGCCAGATCCAGGTAAGTCAGACCTCTTTAAGGTCAGAACAGCCTAGCATGGGGTACATTTTGGTAACACCATCATGTTCTGCCTGTGATATTCACAACTAAATAAAACAGGATAGGCTATTTGATTCAGTTTAGTTAGCACCACAAATCATCGTGAGCATGGGCTCCAGACAAAATGCATACTTTAACAAGAAAGAAATTGTCTTCTAGGATCAGACTGACGCTTGTGTAGATGCAGTTTGACAGCTGTAAACAGAATACTGAACAACACAAGCCTTGGTCTGATCCAAAAGACAATTATTTTATTATTTTATATTTTCTGAATTTGTATAGCCAGAAGCTCTGTTAAACTATGTATTTTGTCTAGAACCCATCTTCACAGCAATTTATGGTGTTAACTAATCTAAATAAAATAGCTCATCCTGTCCAATTTTCAACCTGTGGCTATAAAGCATTCAGAAAACACATAAATGCTACAATCCATACAACTGACAGCAGTTTAAGCAAAGAATCAAACTTACTGTCCACTCTGCATTGTCAGTCTTGGTACACCTGACATTCACTGGCAACCTAAGAACATACTTATTGTAGGAGATTCCCTGTTCTCTGGACCATTTAAACTTGTTCATCGCATCCATGAAAGAAAGGTTTTTATATTGTTTTGGACTCTTGATAATGAATGGCCAAGTCCTGAATGTAAAAAATAAAAGTAGATATTTCTACTGTTACATAAGTTCCTAAACCAAACATATAGAATATAATCCCTGCAGAGGAAAACACAGTTTAGCTGTTGAGTTAATGGGATTAGTGACAGCAACAAAGATGCATATATGCAGTACTGCTAGTATTTTAGTTTATTGAAAGAACAGTGTCCCTTTAAGCGAAGGCAAATGAGCGATCCCTGCCTCCATCTACAGAATTCCTTTTTAAAAAGTAAGACCATCAATGCAAATGTGTTTCAACCACCATTCTCCTCCTCCTCCTCCTCCTCCTCCTCCTCCTCTCTCTGAACCTTTGAATTACTGAGGAAAAAATGTATACTGAGACTCAGATATTCCAGTCAGTTAATTGAATGATTAATTGAATGATTCTATTAACTAAAGGAACATAGAAGTAATAAGGGGCATTAACATGTGAGAACTAAAAAAAGAAAAAATGTCTGATGTTTTATGTATACAAAAATAAAACTGTATATAAAAATAAGCACTATTAAAAAGAATGAAAACCTGTAACAAAAGAAAACACACATATCCATTTTCTAAGTCAATGACTGGCAGAAATAAGACAGAGAACAGCAAAGCTATGAAAGAATTGCAGGATGGTAGCAGAGAGATCCTTTCCCACATTTGAACCTTCATGTACCATGTATTTCATGTTTCCTTCTTAAATCAGGCGTGCTTAAACTGCATGCCCCCTGCCAAGCTTTACCTTCTAGTTTATTTTCGTACAGCATCACACATACATTTTGATGCTTTGCAAATATATAAACTACTTAAGAATACAGTATCCAGATGTGTGTTTGTTTTCTGAAGACTTCAAAATTAATAAAATGAAAGTGCTGTGTCTTGCCCATTTGGGACTAACTTGCAAAACATGAACTTTAGAGTAAGTCTTTCACAGTATGGCTAATATTAATATCCTGTTTTTAACGTAACAAGCAGAATTTACATTTTTGAACTAAACAAACAATGAGCTTTTATTTGGTCCAAATGTGCTTTTCTGATATTGTGGCTGTTATTGTGAATGAACATTCAAGAGAGCACTTTGCGTTAGCATAGTTTCTTTTTGAGTTCAGGAAATGAATTTGTGAGCTCCAAATTAGAATGTGTGTTCTTTTTCCAGCTGTCAGGAGAGATTATATAAAGACAGCTAGAAAGAGGCTGCAGGTATAAATTCTCTAAGGATGCCTGTCCCTGAAAGAGTTTTTAAAACTATGCATTAATCACTCCAGAGTACAAAGCTCTAGGGGGAAATGGTCTTAAAAGCATCTCTGGAAGTTAACTATATATTTTATCCTGAATTATTAAACTTCAAAATGTTAAACATATAAAGAGATGCTGATGAGGCTTAAGATGGAAATGGGACAGACTGATAGTTGTGGGACTTTTTTTGTCTAAACATTCATAGAAAGGATTGCATTTTTAATGCCTTAATTTGCTCAACACTGCTGAGTTGTCTTAATACTCCAGCTTTTGGAATGCTTTGTCTCATTGCCCATCCAACAATTATTATCTGGACAAACAGTGCTGGGTGGCTTGATTCAGAATGGGCTTTGGGAAAACAAAAATGAACAACCAACACACAATTTAAAGAGAAACAACCCAGAAAATAAATTATTCTTCTTCTGAGATCATCCCAGAGTTACAATCTAGTTGCATTCTGATAAGCCAGGTGCCTAAGAAAAAAACTAGGAAAGGTTTTGTTTTGTTTTAATTCATCTAGGCATTTTAAACATTGCTACTATTTTGATGATTTAAAACTTTCTGACTTATAATAGTGATTCTATTCACTGGTTATTTTATATGTTTTTATTGTTTTTCTTGTTCTAATTTTGGTGAAACACTTTGAAGTACTGGATAAAAGGTGGTATCTAAAGATTCTGAATAAAAACATTTAAAGAATAACTCAGAAAGGCATGTCCAGAACAGTGGTCCTTAGCAATGCGTCAGGAAGGCTGTCCAATATTAGTTTGCAGCCATACACCCCATAATACTCTACTTACCTTACTGGTCTGTATATTTCTTTAACACCAATGAACTGAAGTTGTTCCATTATGTCTGGGATACTTGCACACCGGGTGAGATTTATTCTTGGATAGTACAGAAGGTAAGACAGGCACATTTCATCTCTGGTGCTAAGACCTCCCTGAAAATATAGGCGATTAACATGGCAAGCCTGAGGTGGATTAGCGGATTACATCAAGAATGTTTCCTAAAATCACTAATGATCAAAGTCACAGGAAAAGAATGCAGATAATTTACAAAGTAGAAGTAGCCAACTGCAATAAGCCATAGGAATGGTGCACACATCATTGCTAATTTGCAAGCTGTGACAGCTCTGCTCGCTCTCTCTCTTGATAAATGAAGAGTTGAGTTACTCACATGAGGACAAAGAGTTTGCTTATTGCCTAGTGGTGCTGTCCTTTCATGCTGGGTCACCTTGCCAGGCAAATTTTGGTAAAACCTATTGTGCCAGGTATTCAGTTCTTACATCCAAACTTCTGAGTTTGCATCAAAACCAACCTACTTGGGCCCTGGTAGCTGCCACCACTGTGAATTCATATACATAAAAAGCAAACTGGTAGCAGCGAAAAGGGGCAGTTAAGGGATCATCAAACAGCCTGTGACAGGACTAGAGAGGTTAGACAATGATTTCCTCAACTCTCAGATTCAGATCTGAAGAGCTGCTACCACAAGCAGACTTATATCTACCAGCATCTCACATATGTTTTGCTTGGCTTGGTGCTGTAGTGACTCTTAAACGTCCCTGGTGGCATTTTCTCTTTACTGTGAGGAAAGGTTTTTGTATTCATTTGGTCCCAAGAGTTATGCTTGCACCTGCAGGTGCCTGGCTAGTGGCAGGGTCTTTTATACTAGGTAGCTCAAAGGAGAGGAGCAGAGATGGAAAATATTATCTATTCAAGAGCACAAAAGTAGTCCTTGAAGGATGGCTACATATTGAATACCCACACAGAAGGCACAGTGTCACTGGAAATAATCTATGAGGAAAAGCCTAGAGAATTTGAGAGTGATGCAGAGCAAAGTATATGGCACTGAACAACAACAACAACAGACAAGACTGTACTTGTGAACCAGAAACCAGAAACAAATCTTGCTAGAAAGGTCCTTCTGAGAATTGATCATTCCAAGATAACTAAATTCCTTTATTAACTGGACTCAAGTCCTAAAAGTGGGGATTGGATTCCATGGATCCAAATCCACAAATAAATTCTATAGTAACTGAACTTCAATATTCTATTATACTTAAGGGAAAAGGGGGAAAAAGAATTAATATCTCTGAATGTTTGCTGAATCACTACAGCAGCGGCAGGCAACATAGTTTTAAACATGATCTGAAATTACTATCCAAAAACATTTTCATTCCCATCAAGTCACATCACAAACTTTCTTACCCAAGTCATATGTGATCGATTTAGAGTACTGTAATGACATTCCGTGACTAAATTATCTCCCTGAAACAAAATATTGAAGAAATTGCCTATTACAATTGTAACCTTTTATATTTTTGTTATTTATATTAATCATTATAAAATATGCTTCACAATTAATTACATTCTTCCAACCCACCAGGATCAGGAACCCCAGTATACAAAGAGTGTAAAAATATATTGGGGTCTAGATATGCCATTCCATTTTTCCTTAAAGTTTGCAAGTCACAAATTATACAAACCGCTCCTTTTTGCTATGTTCATTATAAAGTGGCAGCAATTGCATTTCAGTGCTGATTCCAGTATTTTGATTCTTATTGCATTGTTGTTTTCTTGGTTAAGTTGAAAAACAGAAGCAAACCAAGAAACCTACAAGAAAGTAAGTTCTGGAGCCACCAAACTCATTCTCCTCACCACCATATGTGAGGCCACTGGTGCAGATCTTCTGTTTTTGAGAGCTGACAGCAAACAGTCCTCTCTCTGAAGAGGCCATCAATGTGCTGGCCTGTCCAGTGGAAGCATGCTTTTAGGTCAAACAATAATAAGGAGGGAGAGCAGCAAGGATCTTGAGGTTGCCCATCAACAATTAACATCTGGACAGCAGACTGAGGAGGCCCCCAGGTCACCAGGGGGCAACCTACATTTGGCATTTTTATGGCACTGTAATGCCTGAATCCCTGGTATTTACATGGCACTCATTCCAACCTGTTTCCTCATCCTTTTTTGCTATTTTGTCCTAAACTTCTTCATACCATTTCTCCGCCAGCTTTTTATATGTTGCAGTTATCACTTTGCACTAAACTCCTGGTACTGTTCTTGTCTTGAAGGAGCAGGCTGCTGGGCAGCATCCTTTTGGGGCTTTAGAAAAACAGCAACAATTCAGTTCTTTTCCCACCTCCTCATGCCTCCTATTACCTCTCTCTCCCTCTCTTTCTCTCCTTCTGACTTGCAAAAGTCCCCTCTCCTTTGAAAATTAAAGTATACATGCCTTTTCAGGCCTTCCCAATGGTCTCTTTGGCCCTCTTGCTCAAGAAACAACCAGCTGAAATCCATGTCTAGTCATATAATTTCAGCAGGATGTACATCAAAGAAACATGCACAGAATCATGCTGTAAATGGAGTTGGTCCTCTCTTTGAATCAGAGACCCTGTTATGTTCATGCCCTTTGATTAGGGAGGAGGATTAAAGACCATGGTGAGAGGGATCTGATGTCTCTTCTCTGTATGGAGTTATGGATTCTATCCTCAGCAACATCAAGATTCAAGACCTCCTAGCCCAATTCAGACACCTTCTGTACACTGCTGGAATATTATTGTGAAACTACACTGCTTCCTGAACAAGGGGCAATGCTAAGACTAAAGGCTAAACTAATGCTTAGAGACTGGAACTGGTCTATGGTTAATGGTGGATTCACCCATTAAAATATAATTGCTTCAGCCGGACCATCAATATACAAAGGATTAAGCTTTTGAAGGCCACTGCAAACCCTTTTGGAAACACATCTGCAGTAGCAACAGCTTAACGCTTGTATATAGTGCAGGAGCAGCACAAAACCAGATGGCCCAAAGCAGGAGGTAACTCTTTGACGATTAACATTTGAGCAGTAAATGCTCAGTGGTCACATGAATCAATCTCAGTTGGAAATAATATTGTCAACACATGTCAATAATACCTCACCCCTACTCTGTTATATACCATATTTTAAAACCACCGATATTTAGTGGTCCATTGATAATTAACAGTCCATTTGGCACTAATTAAAAATAAGATACTTCCTCATCATCTCACATAATCCACTTGCAACTTTTCTGTGTAACAGCATTTGTCATGACTAGCCATCTTCCGAGCCCTGAGGTTGATAAGGCAGGCAGCAACTGACAAGTACTGACAGATTTATCTGGGCAGGAGCCTTTCAGTATCAAGTTTGCACAAGTGAACCAAACTTCCCACTAGTACTGCAAACAGCAACAACCAAAGGGAGGCAATTATCTTATTTGGATAAGAAAATGCTGCGAAGAGGGAATTACTAACTGAAAATACTTAATTCTAGAATTCCAGGGGAGGCAAAATTAAGTAAACATCTGAGCTGAACAACCATTTCCCTGGGTCACAGCACTAACAGTTGAACTAGAAGATGCTCCCTTCTTAACAAGAAAAACTGTTTTAGGGAGGAGAATGGAAATGCAGCAAGGAAGATGGGTACTGCACCCACCCTGCTTGCCATTTATCTACTCCTTATCTACAGGATTTTCTGTCTGCACGGATCCAGATATACATCTTGCAGTGGCAAACACAGCCATCTGATTCCTTGCAGAACCTGAGGGACAATGTGAGCTGGGGAAATGGCAAAATTCAGAAAGTGTTACTACAAAAGTATTATCAAAATAGGGAAAAATAGTTTGTACAGGCAAGATGGTCCTTTCTTCTTTTAGATACTGAAACTCCTGGAAGTTGAAGTCAAATTCATCATCATAGGCCAGCAGCTTCTGTTCATCCCCCTTGCGGAAATGGCGCATCCTGATAGCTCTGCCAGCGAGGTGTGCGTGAAGAAGAACGGCAAACACGTGAATTCCGCTTGGCCTCTCAGCATCAAGGGCCTGAAAAGGACCAGTGACACTTATGAGCTTACCACAAATCGTTTGAGAGAGAGAGAGTGTGCAGTCACTATAACAAGAACATAAAGATGACAGACAGAATGAATGTGCTTCTAGGATCCCTGGCCTGTCTTTACACACACACAGGAAGAGAGGGAGAGCTCATCCCAGCATCATCAGCAAAAAGTTCTGAGCAGTTGTTTCATCTTTTCCTCCATTACTGATTTCTTTCTAGAAAGGAAATAGGTGATGGAAGACGATGTTGTCCAGACCCCCGTAAAATTCCATGAAAAAGACTTATCCAGCGGCAGCTAGAGTGTGCAGATAGAATAGCAGCTGTGTGCTCATTCTGCACTTGACCACAGCTGGATCTATTACATTTTGCAGAATGATTACAAGAATTAAAAGGCACAGCAGCTTCTCCAAGAGTGAAAGAAGACTTCCAGAAATGTCACTGCAAAATCTGTGTTTGAATAGAGCAGGGCCCATGTGCAGATTTACAAGGCAGCTTGCCAAGAAGGCAGCTTCCCATGATGGTTAACAACAGCAACTTCTTTAAACCCACTTTTTGGCTTGCTAAGATAACCTCACAGCTCTGCAGCATGTTCAGTTTTCAAGAGTTCTTACTTGTTCTTTATATATAAGAAGGGTGGGAAAGCTGTGGCCTTCCTGATGCTGTTGCTCCCATAATTCTTGATCACTGGACATGCTGGCTGAGGTTACTGGGAGCTGGAGTTCAAAAAGAGATAAAAGGCCATAGGTTCCCTTCTCCTGATATACAATATGGTTTACTACACTCTTAATGGGCAGTGGGAAAAATGTACATGTGATTTTTAAATAGTACTGTTCACATATTGTTTTCCTAAGCACCAATTTTTATGTGATGCTCTGCTGACCCAAACTCAGTAAGTACAGTCAGTATAAGAGCAGAGAATACACACACACATTCAATTAAAGTTGAAATTATCCTACAGCTTAGAAATTCATTTGGCCAGCTGTAGGAAAGCTGATAACATAATACCACTGAATTAAAAGTAAAAACAAAAGAAAACTTTGTGGTCAATTTTAAAACATGTTCTGTAAGGATTAACATAAAATATGATATCTACAAGGAGTATTAATCAGTCTCTCATCTTCAGTATTTTCTCCTCACACCCTGCAATTTCAAGTATTTGGTGTGTATATATTTTTAGATCTAAATCTGGGAGGGTTTGGGTTCCTTTCTGATTCACTGAATTATTTCATATGGAATTCGGGTAGATCAAAGTATAAACTTTTTATCTTTTCAGTTTAGTTTTTCTGTAGTTCTTAGCATCAGCAAGCCTAAATCCTTAGTCCTAACTTTAGAGTTTGTAATGCAAGAAGATACAAATGAAGATTCAGGTACTAAGAAATAGTTTGCATGTGTCTTTTGCACTGATGGTCTGAACCAAGCAACAGGTACACAATCCTCTCCTTCTCCAAGTCAAAGGCTCTGCACCAAGCCTACAGGCTGGCTAACACATAACATCATTTTAATGGTTAAAATATAAAAAGATAATAGTTTTAAAATATGTATTTTAAATATAATTGTAATTTCTGTTCTGCTTCAGGATAATGTTCTGGGACTATTTTTTCCTTAATAAATTACTTACCAATCAGAACATTCATCTATAAAGTAACTTCTCTGTCATTTTTTTTTAAAAGCTTGGAGAAAAGCTAGTGTAAGGCCATGTGGCAACCCATGGTATCCAGGCAGAATCCTAGCCCCTCACCCCGTCCACTTTTCAAACCAATAGCCAGAAGAGCCATCTTTTTCCTTAATGGATTTTCCACAGTAAAGAAAAAGATGGAAGAAGCAGTGGGAAAACATGGGAGGGTTACGAATGAAAGACGACCACATCTGGAGCCTTCATAAAATTCTGTGAATGAGGCTGAGCAATGGAGCCATAAAAGCCTCATCCGGAGTCACACTTGCATACTGCTGGCCTGGATCCAAAGAAATGACTCATGTGCCTGGAATTAACTGAGTCTTGGAATTTAACTTGCACTATTTTGCTTCATCACTTTCCCCTATTAAAGAGATAGGTCACTTCTAATAACTGCATGGTGACTTGCTCATTTGACGTTGGAATTCCTGTAACAAAAGTGTAGTTCCAAGGAAGCCATCTGAAAGTGCTGTTTCACGTAACGTAACATATCACAGTAAATCACACTTTGGCAGGAGACGTACTTCTTCCAGGCATTCCAGCGTGCAGTGACCCTCCGACATGAATTCAGGCATGCCTGGTGGGATGTTGTGGAAGAGGCTGACCCAAAGACCTGCTTCAATAACTCCAGCATCGTATTTCCTTAAATCTGGAGTATAAAATAGCCTCAGTCCAGAGTTATCCATCATTCCTGAAAACAAAAGAGCAATTGTCAAATGCGGCAACAAATCAGCATAAAATATCATGTCAGCTTTAACTTGCTGTGGAACCAACTTCCTCAGTTTATGGAAGGACATAACCTAAGGGAAGGATTGTGTTTAAAGTGGGTCAAATGGATACAGACACTGGGGAAACTGTAAACAGAGTGCACTAGTCACAAGAGGGTGGCTAAGAAGGGCAGGCTCGCTTTTGTACTGTTCTAACCTGCAGAACAAATGTCCACTAATTTTTATGCCCTTCCAAGGCAGCAGTTTTGTAGCACAGTTAAGTTCACAGTTGTTCCACAGTTGTCATGGGACATTATCCAGATGTCATTTTACCAGGAAGTACATCTCCATATACATATCTCAATTACCAAGCACTCAAGTTGCAGGATTTCTCCCTAGGGAGAAAAGGTATCCTTCTCCTAGTTACTGCATCTATTATATTATTGTGTGGAATATGGCATGTCTATTTATTTGGGAGTATTTGCCACTGTTGGACCCGAACAACTCATGGCTATCCCATGCCCATTCAATTCCATGAATGTTTTCAATGCCTTATTTATTTCTTCCTTCTCTGGAGAGGCTCTCTTGTTATATTGATCAAAAAGAAGAAGAAGAACGCTGATGTCACCCTTAAATAAGAGGAAGAAGGGGAAGAAGGTAACAAGCACAAGCAAGGCGACTCTCTTTTCTCACTGCATTGCCCTGACATTTGTATGAATTTGTATTTTTCCAGCCTTTTCTGATTCTATTTCAATATCCTTTCACCTGTTATGTATATGGGATGGAACACTGGCAGTGGCTTTCGATCCAGGCTAGCATTAAAGCCATGCTGAAATATGTTCTGTGGGTTGGATCCAGGTCCTCAGAGAAGGCCTATTGAAAACAGTGGGACTTAAGACTTAAGTCAGTTGTGACTATTATTTTCTATTTATCAATAATGGGCAATTCGGGGAGATTGCCCATCCACGTTCAAGGAATGCTTGATGCGATATGCAATGAAATGCTTCCCCCTTGTTTTCTGGATCCATCTCAATGTTTAGAAAGGTTCTTACTCACATAGTACTTGTCATAAGGAAATCAGCCTACGGCTACGTGAGAAAATTACATGCTCCCCTGTGCCAGCACAAGCTAGGTACTGGGAACAGCAAGGGGGAAGAGCTATGTTATGAATTCTTTCCAAATGATATGGTGTGGAAGGAGCCATACTGCAATTTCCTCTGATACCCCAAGGACAATGTGGAAAAGAGGGGGCTAAGTGTACTTAAAATCAGCTGAACTAGCAGTGCATGTTTACTGAGGAATAACCATCCCAGTGCCGGTGAGACTTACTCCCTGCTAAGTATGCAAACATACACTTCCAACGGCATATACATGGTGTTATGATTTACAGCCTGTTTCAGCAGGTTAAGTCAGAAAGGTCCCACTAAGATTATTAATACATATTCCCAGATATGTATTATAGGATTGTCGCTCTCATCCCACTGAATTCAATGGCCTTACAGTTGTGGGTAACCTTTGCTGGACTGTATTCAAATTTAGGAAACAGCCACTTCTCAAGCTTAAGGGACGCCTTAAACAAACAAAGAATCCAACTAATCCGTGACAGTTAGAAGGAAGAAGAAATTGCTCTGTTGCTCTGTTAGCAAAGCTGTGCAGTGTTTTTCCACTGGGGTAATCTGGTTCGGCAGACAGTGGAGTAGACACTCTACTGTGGCTCCCCCGCCCTTCCAGAGCATCTCTTAGGAAATCTTACCTTATCTCAGCCGCCTGAGGTGCCTTTTCTCATCGATATGAACCCTGCTTTATGCATCGCTTTACAAGAGAATGTTTTTAAATACTTAATTGTTTTTTCTTTTAGTTTTTATGATGAGGTGAGCTGCCTTGGGTGATGTTGGTTTGTGCAAGGCAATCAGGCACCCAGTTCAGAGAACATAGAAACAAAGTGAGTCAGAAGGGACCTTCCGGGCAATCTAAACTGACCCCTGGCTCCAGCCAGCTTTGCTCACGACATGCCCACCATGTGCATGCCCAGCCTGTCCTTGAACACCCTCACCGATGGGGTTTCAACCACCTCCTGTGGAAGCCTATTACATACTGTAGCGGTCCTAACTGTTAGGAAGTACTTCCTGGAATCCAAATTGAACCTTGGTTCCCTGAGCTTGGCTCCATTGGAGCACGTCCTGCATTCCTCTGCAGGGGAGAACAGGTCTCTACCCACCTCCGTGTAATTGAGAGCCAGTGTGGTGCAGTGGTTAAAAGCGTGGGACTGGGACTCAGACGATCTGGGTTCGAGTCTCTGCTCAGCCATGAAGCCAACTGGGTGGCTTTGGGCCAGTCACAGACTCTCAGCCCAACCTACCTCACAGGGTTGTTGTTGTGGGGATAAGATGGAGGAGGAGAATGGTGTAAGCTGCCTTGAGCCCTTTGTAGGAAAAAGGCAGGATATAAATCGAAAAAAATAAATAATATCCCCTCACGTACCCATATGTCGCCAACAGATCACCTCAGTCTCCTCTTCCCCAGGCTGAAAAGAGCGAGCTCCCTCAGTCTCACCTCATACAGCTTTCCCTGCAATCCGACCACCATCCTTGTGGCCTTACACTGCACTGACTCTAACCTGGCTATATCCTTCCGTAATGTGGACCCCAGAACTGAAAGCAATAGAACACAATAGAGCAGTACCTCTTTCCTCAGTCAAGTGGCTACTGGCCATCTCAGCCAGCTCACACCAATTCTGCTGTACACCCAGACAGGCAAGGAGTCCTGAATGTCATGGAGACTGTCTGGCCCTCTATATTGCTTCCTCTCCTTGGGCTCTTGCTGCAGGAAAACTAGAGTGGCCCTGATGACCTCTGTCCTTTGTGGAAACTGATTTATTGCCTTTTGGAAATAGAGGCTCAAGGGATTATATTGGCCAGTTCACCCGTGAAGCACACTTGCTAAATGTCTCCCATGCAAATATGTTCAGGCTTGAAGTTTCCCAACATGAACACAGACAAGGACTAACACAAGTCCTTAGATGTTCACACAGAATATCTTCTGCAACATTGACACCTGAAGAAAACGTAAAATTTCTTGCCCATCATTCATTTCACATACTTTGGGTGAACAAGTTAGAAGACATACACTTTTAGCACATTTCATTATTTCAGAAGTCTAAATTCGATGACAAGGCATACCTTCCATATATGAAGGGTTGTCATAATGGACCTCCATTAGCACGTACTGAGGGTCTGCTGCTGACCCAATGGATAAGCCAACATGAGGAGGATACATAAAGCCCTGGAATTGGGAACACACACATTTAAGTTACCAGGTTCCACCCACAGTGGCAACACTTAGACTTGCTTCTGGACATATCTCTCTGGTATATTTGCATACTGGCTGCAGAAAATGGCAGAACTGTTAGCACTGACCCACAACAGAAATTGCTACTAATGCCAAATATATTTGTGCCCACGGTATTTCGGGCTGGTAACATTCAGCTGCTCCATTTTAGCTGATTCGTTCCTTTGTGGAGGGCTGTACAATCTCTTACATCATTTCACCAAAGAGGCAAGCAGTAATGGCAGCGAGATCAAGGCTACCATCTTTCCATTCCCATTTCCCTGCAACATGCTGCTTTATATGTTGCTGACCAGAGTAGTCTGATATGTCTTCCTGAAGTTCTTCCTACTTTTGAAAGAGCAAGTCCAGAACCAGTGTGATCCCAGTAGCTGCCAGATATATGCATAGTAAATGCTTATTAAAAATGGTTCGGCTCAGTTCCCTTCATTCCTTCAGTCACTAGCCTTAACACATCCATTCAGAAAAATTACTAAAACCAGACAATAAAACAACAAGTTTTACGGTACAATTACAGTATGCATTATAAAACCAGCCTGTGATTTTGCTCATCACATTCCAAATACAGTGACTATACACAGCACCCCAAACTCATTGCTAGAAGAATAGAATATATTTTTGAAAATGGATCAGTAATCACTTTTCCTTATGCTACCAATTACTTCTTCAGCATTCACAGCATTAAGGGAAAATCAGAGAAATAATACTAGAGCTCTTCGGTTTTGTTACTCCCAAACAGCAAGAGCAATGATTATGCAGCAAATGTACTGCCTGCTCTCTAGAAAAGAACAGCTTCCAAATCAAGGCTTCTCAAACCCCACTTTGGCTGCTTCCATTCTTTTATGGTCTGCTTTTATTCTGGCAGACATTTTTAGCTGAGTCTTTGAGATTTTTTTAGACTAGCATAGCTAGTAAGATGATTATGATGCTGTTTTTATCATGCTCAAGTTGTGGTCAAATAAGTCTCAGATAAGTTATCTTAATCTAACCATGGTATGTGTGTAAGTGGGTTCTTTATTTTTATTTATTACATTTTTGTGCTGAAGCTCTTGGGCAGTTCACAACAATAAAAATAATACATACATACATACATACATACATACATACATACATACATAAAAGCACCATAAAAAGCCAAAGTAAAACCTAAGCAGCAGTACAAAGTTTTAAAATGCATTAATAGGTTTAAAACAACAAAGATTGAGAATCTAAAATAAGAAGGTCTTCAAGTGGTACCAGAAAGAGTACAGTGCAGATTCCAAGTGAATTTCTCTGGGAAGGTCACTCCACAACTGCCCTGGTAGAAAAGGCCTTGTTCTCACTCCTTTTGGCAAAGGCTCCCTTGACAATACCAGTGAGGATGAGCTTAGGATCAGGTATGTGTGGAAGAAGATGCTCCTTCAGGTAACCTGTCCACAAGCCATTTAGGGCTTTGAATGTTGACACCAGTACTTTCATTTGGACCTGAACCTGAACTGACAGCCAGTGCAGATAGTAAACTACTGGCTTAAGATCATGTTGGCCACTCCCTTTCAGAAATTTTGCAGACCAGTTGACATTTCCTTTTTTTTCCATAGGGAACTTCACATCTAGCATATTGCAGTAATCCAGTCAAGGGGTTATCTGAGAATGGATACTGATAGCTCGGCTATCCCTGTCTAGATGCGAATATTATTGAAATATCAGTCTGAGCTCATAAAAGACGTTCTCAGCTGCTGGTCCCTTTAGGAATGGTGCATCTTCCTCCAGAACAGGTTGACCTTCATTCAGCATACCACACATTAACAATACCCCCATGTTTTCTAGATTGAGTATCAATTTACTGGCTTATCAATTATCCAGTCTGTTACTATGGTCAAGTAATTCAGACCAGCTACTGCCTCACCCAGATCTGATGAAAAAGAGAGCTAGACCTGGGTGTCATCAACATATTCATGACACCTCAGTCTTCTCTTCTGGATAACCTCCTGCCATGGGTTCATGTAGATATTGAACAGTGTGGGGGATAGAATAAAGCTTGGAAGAACCCCATAGCATAGCTACCAGTCATAGCACCATAAATGCTCAGCACCAACTTCTGGAATCAACCATCCAAGCAGGGGTGCAACTAGCGCAGGGCAGTGCAGTGCCCCACCTCCTAACCCAGACAGCCTATCCAAAAGGATACCATGGATAATGGTATCAAAAGTTGCTAAGAAATCCAGGGGAATCAACTGGGGCACACTTGTCCTCTCCCTTTCCCAGAGGTCATCTAACCAGGTGACCAAGACAGTTTCTCTTCTAAAAACCAGACCTGAGGACAGACTGAAATTGATATAATCAGTTTCATTCAGGAGGTGACCATCAGCAACCTGCTCAAGCACCTTACCCAGGAAGGATAACTAGAATTGACATCATCTGGGTCCAGCTTAGAGGCTTTTTTGGTGGTCTGGCCAACTGTTCCAATAGAACTGCATTAATTCTGGTGTGCAATTTGCGACCGATCTGAGTGACTTTATCTTCAAAATGCCAAACAAATTTATCACAGGGTACAACTGAGGGTTCTGCCATTTTCCTCCCTTGTTGATATTGTAACAGGCCATGAACCACTTGGAAAAGTCCCTCTGGACAACATTAAGAAGATGCAACATTGTGGAAAATAATTCTCTATTTACTGCCACAGAAGAGACTATACCAGGTATACCACAGCATTCTGAAATGTTGAATGGACTTTTGGAATATTTCTTTTGTGCTTCTTGTTTGCATAGGAAAATGTAAGTCTCAGCATATGCCAATTTCTTCAGCAGATGGATCAAAAATGTAATTCTTTATTTAGCAAATTTTTGTTAGGTGAGCCCCTGTCATATCAATGAGTTTTGATACCGAGGATGTCCTGCTAAATTTTGACAGACAAAGAAAGGGACTCTGTTGCTAATCACAAAGTACTGGAGCATATCTAGGATCCCCTAGTATAGTCCTTAATAATCCATACCAGATACAATCTAAATAGCACAAGATTTTGAAAGCCCTCAGTTCTCCGCGATGCAGGAGGTTGCTTGCAGGTTTCATCACATTCAGTGCAGGTAATGCAGCCAAGTTCAGCAAAATTTAGGATCGTCATCAACAATTTGTTCTACCGAATGGACAAAACCTTCAACTACATTTGCACACTGCCAATTGGATAAATAAAGATGTGATCCTATGGATTACGCTCTAAATGACAATTAAAATTCCTCCTACCTCTCCTCCAATGGCCCAGGCAAAAATGACTGTTTCACAGGTGAGGAATGCATCTGGCATATTCGGATGGTAGCACTCATGTCCATAGTCCAACACACTATCATTCAAGCTGCTACTGCACTGGTAGAGTAGAATGTGGTGCACCACATTCTCATGACCCTTCTGTATCAGTGGCTCAACCTGTTGGCATAATAATGTGCATTAATTTAGTTGTTCAGCCTTAGCTAATGTTAGCAGCCATTGTCCCTGGAGCAAAGAAGGTGGTGGTTGCGGGGAGCGGGGCAGTTGTGTGCTGCCATGAAGCCTGGCTTGAGGTTTTTATGGTACTCCAAACTTTGCAATGACCGTCACTTTGTGTCAGAGCACTTGCTTTGCGTGAAGAAAGCCTCTGGCATCAGGGAAGCAGGCCAGGTAGCAAGTGATAGGAAAGCCCTTGCCTGGAAGCCTGGAGAGCCACTACTGGTCAGAGTACACACTGCTGGACTGGACAAACCAATCTGACCCAGTATCAAGATGGTTCAGCAGGGATTGGTATGTCTGATTCTGCAAGTATTCTTCTTTCAAGGAAACTATTAATACAGAAGGGGGTGGGGGAAGAGGCATACATATGTAGAAGCACTAGGTCGTATCCAAAGTCCGGTTCCTCACTAATAGAAGAGCTTTCATCAGTGGGATGACTTTCCCTTTCCTGCAGTCCCACCTCCCAAAAATTGCTCCAGAGGTTGCAAAACTCCGGAGCAGATTTGGCCGCTGCAGTAGAGAAAAAAGAATGAGGAAGTTGCACTGCATTAGCAGAGTTCAGCTTGTACAATATTAGATTGAGCCCACTTGCATTTTGCTTCCTGCTGGACAAAGGAACTCTCACTGGCTTCACTCTGTTTTCTATCCAGAACCTTTATTCCACCTCATTTTTGCTGATGGCCATCCCAAGAAATTAGTACTGGTCAGCTCAGGCCAACCTATCCAACTGGGAGTATCATGTTTCCCTTTTCAGTTCTGGAAAGATCCTGGATAGCTGTGTACATACACATGCACAGAGGCGGTATATTCTTGGTACGTGGAATAAACAAATAATGAGAGTTCATGGCTGTGTGTGTGTTGTGCACTATCAACAAGAACAATACTGAATTGTCTGGATCTGGAGAATGACAGCAGGACCTTGTTGCCATGGCCCAGTGGGCAGTACTGGGAAAGGCCTGTTAGCTCCTTTCCTCTAGCCTGTTTGGCCCATTTCAAGTATCTCCAGTAACACACTCCATTTTTAGATAAAATATGATGTCAAAAGAAGAAATGTTCGTACTCAAACTGGTTTTCAGCTATCAGGAAAAGGAAGAGTAGAAATACAAATCAAATACAAATACAATCTGCTCTCATACTGCCCTAAAAATCAGGGGGAGAGTTGCCACTGATTTCTCCTGCTTGGGAAATGTAGACAGACGCCACCTACGCTTGTTGAGAAATAGCATTTTAAAAGGGTGAAAATCCCCGTTGAACTGAGAGCTTCTAAATAAGAAGGACATACGTGAAAAGGTTATGGGAATGTTCTAGCTATCTCTGCTTGAAATAATGGGCTACTTGTCTGAACATGTGGCACACCCACCTGCCTCTCTAGGACACCAGCACTTGCTGTGCTTCCACTCACAGCTTCAAAAAAGACAACTCCCCTTCAAAGCAATGGGTCATCACCTAAGTTAGCAATCCACATCCCCTCAGTGGCAGTTTCCTAAACATTAACATTAATTCTAACAAGAATTCTTTTGTCCAGCTCTCTTTCTGTTAAAGAAAAAAGAACAAGAACAAGAAAAACATTCCAGAAATAAACAGTTTATGAATCACTCCTTTCTCTCTTTGCAATGCATTTTGTGGGAGACTTTGTAGTTTCACAGGGGGGAAAAGTTATAAACACATGACTAGAAACGCCAGTGGAGCATCCTCATGATAATAATTATAAGGCATGATGAACCACTGGCTCTACATCTGAACACTTAGGACTAGTGATGGAGAATAAAACCTTATTATTCAACTATACATATTGTCAATAAAATAGCAACAAAACACTCACACCAAGCTTTTCTATACAAGGCCTTTATTGTGAGTTCAGCATTCCCTACTCATGCTTGTTTATGAGTTCTATAGAAAACATTGCAATCTTTACAAAGTGTTTTTAAACACTTTTGGCAAACTTTATTAGGGCCAGAAAAAGTTGGTATGATTTAAAGAAAGCAAGGGAAAATGCTATTGAATGGCTCAGTTCCACTACTGGGCACACGTGTATTTGCACTATTCTTCCAAACTACACTGCCAACTGCAGGTAATGCAGCCAATAAGCAGGAAACATTCTTCATTCTGTGCATAGATCTCAGTTCTGTGCATAGATCTCAGTTCAAAAAGCAGATACAGCAGATGAACAGCCTTGTGCAAAGCAAAGCAAAGACTATGGGCCCACAGCCACAGGTGTGAAACTCAGAGAAGCAGAGGCGGAGGAGACTGCATTTGTTACATTTATTAAGTACCTTTTAGAAACAGGAAAGCCTTTGCTTTCCTTCTTAAAGCTACATATTTTGTTACTTGGGTGCAGTGCAGCAGTGAAATCTGCCCACAGATTCCTGGTGGTACATGTAGCTGAAAATACACCTGAAATGAAAGACTATTCTGACTTATGCAAAGAGCTGTACATAGATTTTTTTAAAATAAGGGCCATGTTTCTTAGGTATCTTTAAAACACCCACGGGTTTAACAATTGACTGGACATTGTGATTCAATTAGAGCTATTTGTTTAGATGAAATTAACCAACTCTCCTGATGAGATTTTTTTTCTTACCAAAAAAACGAGCATTGAACTGCGCAATCAGATTGAAGTCTGACTGAATGTATGCCAAAAACCCAAAGATAACTTAAACTGTAACATCACTGCTGCAGCAGAAAAATATGGCTACACTGACAACATTGAAACTGTGTTGAGAAGCCCTGGCAAGAAATGCAAAATGACACTATTTTTGTTGGCAAACAAGGAAGCATGTGAATCTGTTAATTATGAAGCAACATCAAAACATCTTTATAAATTTCCCTGGGCTACAAGGAAGCTGATTTTAATAAACTTAGAGCACTGATAAGTAGGATTCTTTAGCAGAAAAATCCGACAGGAAGAAGAGTTCAAGAGGTAGAGTGAATGCTTATTAAATTTTTAGATGACACAGAATTGGATGGAACAGCTAATATCTTAGAAGATGGGAACAAAATTCAAAATATTCTTTAGCTTAGAAACCCAGGCAGAAAATAACAGAATGATCAGGGGACTAGAAATTAAGTCCTACAAGGAAAGAATGAAAGCACTGGGTATGGTTAGCCTTAAGCCTGGGGGAAATAACACTTTTCAAGGACTTAAACAGTTGCCTCGTCGAAGAGGACTGCACCTGTTCTCTGTCATCCAAGACTGGGGGACATGAAATAATGGGCTTGAGTTACAGGAAGGCAAAGTTCAGCTGAACATCAGAAAAACTTCCTAACAGTCGGAGCAGTTGGACCACAGACCCAACTATCTAGAAGGGTGAAGTGCTGGAGAGACTGGGCAGCTTTTTGAAGGATGCTTTAAAGTGGACTCCTGCACTGAGCAGGGAATTGCCCTTCTGACTATATGATAAGAATGTTGCTTTTGTGGTTTACTCTTGATATTCTGCCAGTGGCTTAATGTTGTTGTTGTTTTAACCTTTTTGTTAATTGGTAGGGAGAATCATAACAATGGTTGAAGTTGTTCAGTGAAAATGTACATAAATTGTTGCATGAAAACAATAAAGGTTAAATAAAAGGAGTTTAGGGTGGCCTTCCGGCTCCTTCCAGCTCTACTCTTCCATGATTCTACGACCTGAAGTTCAGATCGGTGGCCTCTTTACTTTTTGGTCTCTCTAACGCTATGTTAAAACAGATGCCATTTCTTCTAAACAGCATCACAAGTGCACAGATTTTGAAGGTACAGACAGAAGCCTGAGCATTTCAATTGCGAAACTCTGTTCCAAAGATTCTCTCCAGCTGCATCTTCCAGCCTCCATCCATGATGATGCCCTTCAGGCAGGTTCTAGAGAGTTACCTATAACTGAGTAAGGATTCCATTGGAGCCACTGTGTATATGCTTCTAGCTATTCTTATCTCTTACTTCTGATTTTATCATTGCTTATATTATGGGTCTCATTTTTTGGATTTTGTGGGTTTAAGTTTAGTTATAATGCCACTTGAGATGCTTTGCCCTAAAGCTGCTTATAAATATTTTAAATAAAGTTACGTATAGTACCTAGTATACTACAAATGCTTTTGCAAATATTTTATCAATCTAAACATGTTAGTCACATATTATACATTTTGCTTCTGCTTTCTGTTACAGTTGCGATAATGACAACTGTAATGATCACCGACAATTTATCCTCTGAAATGCTTTGAGTATATGTTTGTGTTCCTAATGAAGACTCTAGGTCTTGCTTTTCAGGGAAAACTACCTAAATTCCTGGTATGTACCATAGTTCACTCATGGTGGTGTGAATTAGTCAACAGGAAAATCAATTACAGAAAGAGGAGGAGGAGGAGGAGGAAGACACAGACTAGCTTTTATTAAGCTAGTACACCACTAAGGGCATTAGGTTTCCAGTCAGCCTGGTACAAGGAATGGTTTTGGTAAAGACAGCAAGAAATCATGGCAAGCACAAACTAGAGAAGTCAAGTAATATGCACTCAATTACAGTGAACTTCAAAACTAGTCATCAGTGCTTATGTGGAGAAAAAAAACAGGAAGGAGAAAGCAGCAGGGGGAGGAAAAGAACTGACACAGGAATGATTGTGAAGACAAAGTAATTACATCTGGGGCAGCAATGAGACTGCAAAACATATGGCAACAGCAGCAGTCCTTCCATTTCTCCATCTGCAGTCTGAAACATTAATCTTCAGGAACATGGATAGTTCACCACATAGGGTCAAATGATTCTGATGAATGCCTTCCATTGTTGTCTATTAGAATGAAACACAACCACTGAACAATTAGTCCAGGGCCCTCATGATTAGCTAAATGATAAATTTCAGAACAAATCTGGACAGCACATGAAAAATTTTAAGAGAGCAATCCCATGCTCCCTCAGTGGAGTCCTCTGAGACCTTCCCATGGCCTGGTGGCTCTTGCCTACAGGGTGGGTCAAAAG